AAAGTCTTCTTGGAAAAAGCGTCTCATTAGAAGCACTCTACATTTTGCTGTCGGACGCTCTTTTTACCTCGATCAAAAACGTTCATTGTCGGCTTTCTGAGTTGGTCGTGGTTTATTGTAAAGACTTACAGCTGTCTTTTATGCTTTACTTTAAGTATAAATGTATTGCACTGATAGGGTTAGGCCCGATTTAAATAACACAGAAGTGAATTTTAATATCTACATAATTATTTCAAGGCAATCCTTTAATCCATTAAATACAAAAATAACTGCCAGTATTATAGCTTATCAGCATAAAGATTACCTTCCTACTTAAAACATTTTTAGGTGGCTACATATGTACGTATCACCAAATAGCTATAAAAGCACACAACCACAAGCAACTGATTATAAATTAAAGCAAAAAAGCAAATACAAAATATCTGTCCAGCAGTATGTGGTTTTATTTTCTTTTTCTGGCTTGCATTGTGCTTTGTTAATTTTTGTTTGTTTTTTCTTTGCATTTAATTTGTCAATAAAAATGTTGGCTAGTCATTTTATGACGCGCCCCCCAATGTTGTTACACACACACGCACAACAGCAGCAGCCAAAATACAAATACATATTTATGCACCCATTTCACCTTTGTATTTGATTTGAACTCCCTGCAGGGTAAACGCGATCTGGTGAATCAAATTTCTAGTTCCGTACTAGATCTTTATCGCCAAAAACGAACCAGTCCAAAATCGGTGAAATATGGTACTTTAAAAAAAAAATATATATTTTATTTTACTTTTTTCATTGGAAATCTATATGTAAGGTGACGATTTAGATGTAGAAACCTACATTTCTTGTAATCATTTAAACAAATTTAATTTCAAATTAAAGACACATTTCGCAGTGGGGGGCAATTGAAACTTCCTAGGACATCGCCATGTTAAATTCGCCAGTTGTTTGCATGCAAAAGAGATTTACCGGGAACAGTATTGGGTCTAAATGTACTAGAAGCGCACCAGTTCAGAAATAGAGATTTTCCCCCACAGGGCTCACAGAGTAGCACGTCGTGCTGCAGCTATTTATTTTTAAACATTTTCAAATGCATATGTACTAATGTACCTACTAGATACAAAATACATACTACATATATATATATATACATCTGTTTGTATTGATTGATAAAGATTCTGTTTGATTACCCCACTTGGCGCTCACTTGCGTGCGCGTACTCTCCAACTCAGCGAAATGCTTTTAGCGCACCTACCAGTGTTGCCGATTTTGAGCTTTTTCTACCACAAGAGGTAGGAATTTTTTATTTGCTTAATAAGTTGGTAGTTTTACAGGACTTTTTTAGAGCACTGTACCGATCTAGCGGCGCGTCAAAGGGACCACGGGTAGACCAAAAGCCGGAAACGGCAACAGACCTTATTCTTTCCCCTAGTTCCCCACCTAGGAAGGTCCGCGAATGGGTGTGTCTAAATCTTTAATAAAAGGTAGACTTACCTAAAAAGCCGAACGGGTTCACTTGACCCTATTAGCAGATATGCAAATTAGTTTTTCTTGCCTACTAAAACAAGAGCAGCAAAATTAAATTGTAATTTTTATGTTATTTTTGAGACGAATAAAAAATTTTAATTTTTAATTATAAGTTTTCTTTACTCAAATTAATTTTAAAGTAGTTGGGTCAAAAACCCCTTGCCGTCTTTCAAGGTATGCAGATATTCCAATCTTTCTAGTGCTAATAAACCTCCCTTAATTCGATTATAAGATTAGAGTGTAAATAAGTAGTGGTAGTAGCAAAAAATGCAAAGCTTCACTTTTGGTAGGTTCCGAGCTCGTTTGGTAGGAATTTNTAATAAACCTCCCTTAATTCGATTATAAGATTAGAGTGTAAATAAGTAGTAGTACATAGTAGCAAAAAATGCAAAGCTTCACTTTTGGTAGGTTCCAAGCTCGTTTGGTAGGAATTCGGTAGGAAAGATAATGTTTTATGTGGCAACACGGGCACCTGTTACATACGTTTTTAGATATATTTATGTGCACATACATTAGTGATGCACCATCAAATTCCATGCAAAAAAATCGGTTACGGTTTTGCATCGGTATATAAAATTTGTTATGTATTAAGACCTCCGCCAACATATTTTGGCAAAACATTGAGATTTACGTTAGCTGCACCGATTTGAAAATACTTCTAAAACTCAGTTCTTTATATATGTATCAAAATAGTTTTGGAAAATATTTTTATAAATCATAGATACTATATTTTAAGACTTCCGCCAAGATATTTTGGAAATGTATTAAAAATTATGTGAGGTGGACCAATTTCAAAATACTTTAAAACTCTAGTTTTGTATAAATAAAAGTAGTTTTTAAATTTTATTATTTTTTTAATTAATTCAGATGGTGATTTTTTAGAAAACATTTTTTAAAGATAACTTTTTTTACAATAAAACCAGAGTTTGGAGACATTTTGAAATTGGTCCATAATAAATTTTAATATTTTTTTCGAACTATTTTGGCGACAGTCTTGAAATATAATATTTTTGTTATATCGTTGGAAAAACTGCAAATTTTTTTTTGTGAGGCACCCTAATGTACATATGTATGTATATACTTATGCACAAATATCTTGTTATTTATTCTCCCCCGCCACCTTCGTGCATCACTGCGCATCGCGTTTAGTTGTAGACTTTGGACGTTGTTCTACTGAACTTTGTACTGAAACAGACAATGAAAAAAAGCAAAAAAATAAAAGAAATCAAAATCAAACAAAAGCAAAACACACATGTTTTTATGTTTATTGGCTTGTCTGTTTTGAATTTTATTAATTTACGCGAAATGTTGTTCAACGAGTTTTGCAAAAACAACAAAAAAAAACATCAATGAGCGAGTTATGTGATAAGCGGTATTTTTGTATAGGTTGAAATAAATACACAAAAAAACAAAACAAAACATCTAAATGGAGAATGTTGACTAAATAAACTTGCTCTTGAAAATTTGTTGATATTTTATGTATGAAAATCATCACCCAACGAAGTACGGTTAACCGGAAAAAAAATTTTATAAAAATAAAAATGATTTTCTTTGCTCAGCTCACTTGTTCGACTTCAATAACTTTTCAATTGTGTAGCGCAGAAGCATTTCAATGAATTGTGCAACAACAAATATGTATGCAATTTTTAAACGACTTAAGAAATATTAACGAAAAAAAATTAAAAAAAAAACATCAATATGCAGTATGCAGAGTGTACTATTCGGTTAGTCGAATAGTCGATTAGCAACTTTATTTTCAGTTGATAGTCGAAATGGAAAGAATACGATTAACTGTTCGAATCCGACTAACGGTTCATTTTCGACTAACCACTCACCTTTGAGTAGTCTGAGAATCGACTAATAGAAATTATTCAAATACAGTTGTTCACAGTAAAATTATTGTTTTAGTACAATTGGGGTTTGTCAATAAGCATAAGTATTCAAAAACATTTAAAAACGAAGCAAATAGGTATATTCCTATATTCCTCGGACTATAAATATAAACTATAAAGCTATAAAAATAAAAATCCGGTCAGAGCGAGAAACTAACACTGAAAAGTATGCGATCGCTTTCTAGTAAAAATGGTAACTTTTGACAACTTCAACATAACTCCAAATTTTTCCTCTTCTGATAGGGATGCTACCCAGTCGGCGAGAAAATAAGCGCTTCTAAAAACACATCTTTCTGGCGGGGCTTTTCCAAAAACACCTTTTCTTCTTTATTAAAAGTTTTTCAAATAGCCCAGTCCTTCCAAAGTGGACGGGAAGTCAAATAAAGCAGAAACCGCAGTAATCGCATCGATACATGTCCGGGGCAGAGTTAACCTATAACTGCGCCATCAGAAAGTGTGCCACTCTGGACATTCCATACGACAAAAGAAAAGAAATACAGAATCGAGCATGAAAGGCTTACCGCTTAAAAATATTAGAAAAAAGCGCTCCTAGAAGGTCTCTTCTTACCGAATTTTGATGACTGGGTACCATTTCTTAAGCATATATGTATACGACATGTAGGAACACATATTACACAGTACAACATTCAAAAAGTGATGGAAATGAAACCAATTGTATTCATTTAGGGGGTCAACACCTAAAAATCTGTTAAAGTTGGTTACCATTTTTTAATATCGATTTCAAGCTGTAGATGAAAAAAATTAAATATATATATTTTTTTAATTTTTAGGTAAATTTTAGCAATTAAAATTACTTACCTAAATAAAAAAAAATAAAATAATATTGTAGCTTTGGGGAACATTTTTTGGTGCTACAACTTAAAATCGATGCACAAAAGAAGTGGTAACCATCTTTTAAAATCGTTTGATACTTTTTCATCAATCTGACCAGCTTTATCGAATGCAGCTGGTCCGATTCCCATTGTCTCCAACTATTTGAAATTTATTGTACTGTATTATAAAATATTTTATTCAATTGAATTCATTTCGTTTCCGTTTTCATTTCATTCTGCTTCATTTGGTTTCATTTCATTTCATTTATTTCCAATTTAATCTCTTCCATTCCATTTCTCCCTTCTCGCAGATGTGCCTGATCAGTGGCCGCCAATACACCTATGCTCAGTTGCGCNTCAAGCTGTAGATGAAAAAAATTAAATATATATATTTTTTTAATTTTTAGAAAAGTTTTAGCAATTGAAATTACTTACCTAAATAAAAAAAAATAAAATAATATTGTAGCTTTGGGGAACATTTTTTGGTTCTACAACTTCAAATCGATGCATAAAAGAAGTGGTAACCATCTTTTAAAATCGTTTGATACTTTTCCATCAATCTGAGCAGCTTAATCGAATGCAGCTGGTCCGATTCCCATTGTCTCCAACTATTTTAAATTTCTTGTACTGTATTATAAAATATTTTATTCAATTGAATTCATTTCGTTTCTTCCGTTTTCATTTCATTCTGCTTCATTTGGTTTCATTTCATTTCGTTTATTTCCAATTTAATCTCTTCCATTCCATTTCTCCCTTCTCGCAGATGTGCCTGATCAGTGGACGCCAATACACCTATGCTCAGTTACGTGACTGTAGTGCTGCCTTGGCCGTACGTCTACAGACCCGATTTAAGCTTGCAGCTGGTTCAACGATTGCGATTTGCTTGCCAAACTTGCCGGAATACCCGATTGCTGCGTTAGGCGCCGTGGAAGCAGGTCTAACGGTGACTACAGTGAATCCCATCTACACAGCTGGTGAGTGAAAAATGCCGCCCGATTCTTTAATTAAAAAATTAAAGTAAGAAATCTTACAAAATAGGTAGGCTATAAAGCAATACGATTCCTGCTATATAGCACACCGTCCTCTTTCTTNCAAACTTGCCGGAATACCCGATTGCTGCGTTAGGCGCCGTGGAAGCAGGTCTAACGGTGACTACAGTGAATCCCATCTACACAGCTGGTGAGTGAAAAATGCCGCCCGATTTTTTAACTAAAAAATTAAAGTAAGAAATCTTACAAAATAGGTAGGCTATAAAGCAATACGATTCCTGCTACATATATAGCACACCGTCCTCTTTCTAAACTTTTTCATTAATATGTACTATATATGTATATGTGTGTAGTTCCACGATTTGATATGTCTGACTGAGCAGACTAATCAATGTGAAATTGATGCGCAAAATATATTTGTAGTAAAATTATACATATGTACATATATTTACATAANTGTGAAATTGATGCGCAAAATATATTTGTAGTAAAATTATACATATGTACGTATGTACATATATTTACATACCGGCAGATACTGATCGATAGACTCAGCACACATTGCACGCGCTGCTCCAACTCATGCTTCTCAAAAGTTTTCCATTGCAACTGCTTTTGCTCCACCTCAGTTTGGGTCGCGTAATCGGCTGGTTGTTTCTCTCCTTTATTTAATTACATATGTATATGTTAATTATTTTATCTCCGATAAGTTCATTGTACGCCCTTCACGGTTACAGCGAATGCATGGGAACACTTCATACGCCAATTGAATCTGTGAAATATGGCACAGTGTGCTTGAAAAGCGGGTCAACTCAGCCTTTGTTTATTTAACATTATAACACTTGGCGCTCTGAAAGCTTAACACCTTTAAGTAAGTTTACGTGAGTAAAGTGTAACAGGAGCTGCTTCGTTGCGGCAGCCAGGTTTTCCAATGCCAAGTTCTACGATCGTTTCGGCCATGCCCGTTTGCGGTAGTTATTACGGCAGCTGTCTAGGCCCAGTGAACTGCCAGCTACTCTGATTTCGAGAGACCACAATTTGAACAAATTGGTTCTCTTTTTCTCTTATAATCACAAAACTATTTATTCGGAATCCTTAACCCTTATATACTCGCCTATTGAATCATCAAATTCCCCATAATCTAACCCAGCCTGAATCTGAGACTTCTTTCTTCCTGACACTATCTGGAGTAAAGTTTAAAGATAGCGAGCTCGAAAGTAATTGCGCTCAACCTTTCGGTTATAACTACCGCAAGCGCTACTCCAATTCTACTTTATAACTTAAGAGGTCCGAGCACGAGCACTTTAAATTTAGTGAGCCACAATTATTTCAATCAATTCTTATTTCCGTACTTCTACTTATCCCCCCCACCCCCACAGAGGAAATTGGCCGCCAGTTACAGCTCAGCGATACCAAGTTCATTGTGGGCACCACTCTCGGCTATGGTGTCATCCGGGAAGCTTGTCAATGGGCAAAGAAGGACCTTCCCATCGCTGTGATACGCTTCCAGCCCGACGAAGAACTTCCCGCCGGCGCTATTGATTTCTTTGAGCTCATCAAGCCTCAAGGTGTGGACTACACGCAATTGAAGGACTACAACGTGGATCCCAACAGCATGGTCTTTCTGCCCTTCTCATCGGGCACCACCGGCCTACCGAAAGCTGTACAACTCACACACAACAATATCACCGTTAACGGCGACCAACTGGAAATGGGCCTAAAGCTACGAGAATCAGGCAGACAGGAGGTGCTGCCAGGTATACTGCCGTTCTTCCACATCTACGGTCTCAACGTGATTATGCTCTCGAAGCTGGCGATAGGCGCCAAGCTGATAACAATGCCGCAATTTAGGCCAGAAGACCTGATCAAGGTGTTGCACGAGTACAGAGCGACGATCTTAAACGTCGTACCGCCAATGGGTAGGTTTGTGCAAACGAGGCTGTAAATTTTAGGCGCAACTGCTCATCTATCCAAATCATTTCTTTTAGCGCTCTTCATGATTAACCATCCGAAGCTGACGCCTGAGATTGCACCCGAGCTGAGATATGTGCTGATTGGCGCAGCGCCAATTTCTGAAAGCGACATCGAGCGCTTCCTGAAAAAGTAAGTACTCTAAGTTACTGATTACTCATTATTTTCTTTACGAAACCCCTGTACTCCTTCAGATTCCCACAGAAGAAACTCCTACAAGGCTTCGGCATGACCGAGACCTCTCCGGTAGCCTTGATGGTGCCAACGAACAACGACCACACCGCCTCCGCTGGCGTTCCGGCACCCAGCACCGAGGCTAAAATCGTCGCAACCGATGGCAAGAGTCAGAAGGGGCTGGGTCCCAACACTACCGGCGAGCTTTGTGTGCGTGGCCCGCAAGTCATGAAGGGCTATCTGAACAACGACGAGGCCAACGCAGACATTTTCTTCCCCGACGGTTGGCTGCGAACTGGCGATATCGGCCACTACGACGACGACGGCTACTTCTACATAACCGATCGCATTAAGGAGTTGATCAAAGTGAAGGGCTTCCAAGTTCCACCCGCCGAATTGGAGGGCCTACTGCGTGAGCACCCGAGTATCTTAGAGGCAGCGGTCATTCCAGTACCCGACGAGGTGGCCGGTGAGCTTCCACGCGCTGTTGTGGTGCTGCGCGAGGGCGTTCAGGCCACCGTGGAGGACATCTACGACTATGTTGCTGAGCGGGTGGCGGAGTATAAAAAATTGGATGGTGGCGTTGTCTTCGTTCCTGAAATACCCAAGAATCCAACGGGAAAGATAATGCGAAAAGAACTAAAGATGCGATACGCAAGCTAAGGACTATAAAGTCAGGAGACATTTGTATTTTGTTATTTTATAGTTCAGTCGTAAGTTAAGAAGAAAGTTCCCTTATACTAAGTTCCCATGACACATAATTCGGTCTCCTATTTGTAATTGGCTCTCATTCTCAATGACGTAATTCACCATTCAAAATTTCGAGAGCGAATTACCTCATTTGTAGGTAATTCGGATCCAATTACCATGCGAATTACGGACAAATCGCTGCCGTCTCTAATTTTAATTTTCAAATTTATCGAACTCAGATGTCAGAGCAAGAGAGAATGGAACAAATCAAAACAGAGAAAAGAAGGAAATGAAGGAAAAGCCCAATGAATTGTCAAATCGAATTTGGAATGAGTCGTGTGAACGGGGTAATTCTTCAGAAGCGAACAATGTAATTGGCAGTGCCCGTGGGGACATAGTATTAAAATTTGC